TTCTGCAAATTAGTAATGTATGTGACGTCGGACTCAGCTTTTTTGCAATATTAATGAATCTTACATAACAAAGTAGTAAATAACCGAATCCACACTGTGCTGCTGACTCATAATTCCTTAAAATTTAATTAATCCGATTTTATTGAAATACAATTAGTTTACTAAAATTTAATGGCTTTATGAATTTGAAATAACCTTAAATTGGCAATTTAAGATTTTGAAGACAATATGGTCATATACTTTATAACAGATCATTCAAAAATGACTTCTGTAAAGTGAAAAACATGCATTATACTCGTATAATGGTCATTCAAAAAAAAAATGTAGACTTTTGACATAACTTTTGTATTTAATGTCATATAAGAGTTAAATTTAAACAGATATATTTTTACGATAAATCAGGATAATTTAAATAGAAAAAGGCTTATATATCATGATAGTTATAAAAATTATCTAAAATTCAAAACTGAAAATCGGGCCACGAAGCACGGTCAAAATTGAATAATTTACTAACAATACACTTTATTATTATGTAATGATTCCGGAATTTTAAGGTATGGCCATTCAGAATTCTCAATTAGTCACTGTTGACATCACGTGACTTTAATTGTGTATACATACGGAGACTCCACAGTCGTCTACAGTTGTTCTTCGGACGCAGCCAAGGTTAGAAGACGAGTGGAGTGAATAAAGTATTCACATTTAATATTCCTCGCCTGTTTTACAGTTAGAGAGAAAATTTGGAAGGCCAAACCAGTTAAGGCCTGCCATAAATGAGGTTGACCTCCAATATGGAGGCTAGCCATAGTTTGTTTGATCTCGTCTGCATTGGCTGACAAGGCTGCTATACTCACTAGTCCGTCCTGAATAAGGCATCCTACAGTGAGTGTAGTGCTTGAAGGGCTATCACATATACTCTCCGTCCTGAATAAGGCATCCTACAGTATATGCGATAGTCTGAAGGCGACTGGGCTCTTATTTTAGTGTTTGTTAGGACTACCTGTTAATTAATTGTTGCTTGCCTCTGATCATTATGGTGATTAACTAGTTGATTTTATTTTACCTAGACAAGGTTAGGACATATTTGTATATTTCGGCAGTCCACTAAAAGCAGACCAATTATTTCCAATTATTTAATGTTGAACACCCCAGACCCTGGAATTGACCAGGTACGATAACTGTGTTTTTATGTAAATACGTTACATATAGCCCTATCTCTAGTAAATGGCGCTTAAGAATTCTCTATACACTGCACACTAGAGAGTTCTGATTTTGTGGTATTTTTATGCAGATAGAGTGATCTGCCCTCTGATCAAGAATAAAATAAATTGAAATGTACAGTTTATTACTTAATTTGCGATCCAATCAAGCATTCATAGCACTTTAATAGGCCAAGATGAATAGATAGAACACTTTATGTGCAGGTATTTTTCCACTTAAGTAAACAACAGTGATTTATGCTCATCAGTACTTCATTGTCTTTGAACATTTTATCTGGGGGTAAATGCAAGGCACCCTATGCTGAAAATGTGATAGATAAGCTCAATGCTTACACCTTACACACTATAATTTTCTCAATGTCCAAAAAATATTTTCCTCTAGTGTATAGAGGGTCCTTAAGCGAAATAAAATTTAAATGTTCAAAATTAAATGCCAAATTGTTCCGTAAATATTGCTTCATTACAAAAAAAAGTCAATTTCAAAAGACAGATAGATCTCATTGATAAAAAGCTAAAAAAAAAAAATGACGTCGAAGGACGTCACGGAGCAGAGAATAGCAAAATGATTTTGTTTTGCATTCGGGGATTCTCTAAACCAAACTCTGAAAATACCAAGAAATATATCAAAACTAAGAAATGCATTTGTACAGAAATAGCAAAGAAAGCTTGTTCGTGAAATCGGAAAATTGACAGTCGGCGAAGATACAGATTATACATGCATAGCAAAAAATCTTGTCAAAAGAGTCTGTAACGTCATGAAAAGTGATGAGCGCTTCACTGTTTCCAAACTCGTGAAAGCAGAGTTACATGTACAAAGTAAAGAAAAAAAAAATAAGATTGACACTATTTCAAGCTACTCAAATAATTCTTAGCAAACTAAGTGTCTAGTGTTACAGAGGCGTGTGACGGTACATATTTTCGCTTTGTACATATTGTCGTCGGCGACAATATGTACCTACCCTCACTGCACATATTGTCGTCAATCGGTACATATTGTTGCAGGCGACAGTATGTACCGAGACGAGCCTCTGCATAATGGACGACAAAATATGCAGTCAGGCACCAGCACATATTGTCGTCGGCGACAATATGTACAGCCAAGGTCGGCATATATTGTCGTCGATAGATTGTTTTGACGAATATTTACTTGAGAAAAGAAAGAGATATTGACAAACACACACAGACACACACGGAGGGAGACAGACAGCATTACCTGCAATACTGTAGGGAGAAAACTTTATGGTCAGAAAATTGTGTCCAGGATTGATGTTCATCACTATAATATGTCAAGATACAGTAAATCTTGAGATATCTGATCAATCAGTCTATTCTTTTTTCTTGTAATATACTTGTCAAAATTTCTAAGTCCCTACTTTTTTAGTTTACAAATTAAAAAAAAAAAACAACTTTATATCAATTTATAAGTAGCTTAAAATTTTGTGAGCAATTTACAATGCTTACCTGTCGAGGCCAAAGAAATTGTATAAGAATGTGAAATTACTCTACCGTGACCGTTTTTGTTGAAGAGCATGAACTGCGAGTTCCGTATGTTTTTCGGGTGTATTTTTTTTTATTTTTTCGTTTCCACATGTTTTATACCTTAAGTTGTTTAAGAAAAAAAAATGAATTTGAGTAAAATTTTGCGCATGTCCGCACAAGAATGTGCAAAAGAAGTTGACATGGTCCAGGCTGAGTGTAGTTCAGGAGAGGTTTGTTTTCTTTCAATATATGTGTTTATTTTGCTTATAACCTTTAAAATACCGTCTTTTTAGTGCCAGCACCTCAAAATTGAAAGTAGGCTGTGAAATGAATACTTTCAATTTTGAGGTGCTGGCACGAAAAAGATCCCTCACTGCTCAATGACTCTGATTGCCAAATAAAGGTCTAAATTTGCAGCCCTCCAGCAAAAAGTGGTGACGTCTACATACGAATGAAAGATTCTCGAGATGTACATTATAACAACAAACAAACAAAAACAAAATCAATTTTGTTCAAATCATTACCCTAGGGGTGGGTCGGGCAACAATGGGTGATCAAAGTTTTAAATAGGAATATATACAGAAAATCTTTAAAAATCCTTTCAAAAACCAGACAGATGTAGCACTGGCGCACCCCCCCCCCTCCCCCCGGCGGTGGTTTGAATTTTTTTATTTGCTTTGATAAATTCTGTTTGTTTAACTTGTATATACTCTCAATTGAGTCCACAGGTAAAATTTCATTAAATAATTTAATTAATTAACATATACAGTAACACACGTTTACATACAAAAGAGTTTTTTGTTGTCAAAAAAATTCTGAATATCATTCCCCCCTCTCCGTTCTGAAATTTTTGGATCCATCACTGAGGAGCAGCAGAGCAGTCGGCCCATGGTTAGTGATGTTTATATGGAAGCATCATCAGGTAGCGCAGTTTCAAGTTTCTCCAAATCAAACTGGACCTAGGGTGGGCCACAATGGGCAATCAAAGTTTGACATAGGAATATATGGGAAATTTCTTTAAAAATTATCTTCTCAAAAACAGCAAAAAAAAAAAAAAAATAAAAAAAAAAAATAAAAAATAAAATTCATATTTATATGGAGCATCGCCGTGCATTGTCATACGACATGTTCTGATGGACGACAATATACGCAATGAGGGTAGGTATACATTGTCGCCGGCGACTATATGAACATGCAGGACGACGAAATGTACCGTCACAATCACGCTGCATGAAATAACACACGAAATGTACGACAGTGTGATTCACACACCAATTACATTCATAAAACTACAAAAAGAAAAAGAAAAAAAATATTCATTAAGCAACAATATCTGTGTGTCGACAATATGTACAGTGAGGGTGAGGCATATAATGTCGCCAGCGACAATATATACATGTGTAATTTTTCAGCTGGCGACAATATGTACCGATGGACGACAATATGTGCAGTGAGGGTAGGTACATATTATCGCCGACGACAATACATGTATATACAATACGACAATATGTACCGTCACAAGGCGTTTTAAATACATGGAGAAGGCGCTATAGGCAATGTTGGAAATGAAGAGGACAAGTAATTCTGAAAAAAAAAAAAAAAAAAAAAAAAAAAAAACTTTCTCTATACCTGTATAATGAATCATGTACTTAGAAGTTAGTTGGAATTAGAATGTTCAAAATTATTTATTACTATAGATAATATCATAAATTCTCTTGTACTTTATTCCAAATTTTATAAGGTTCCTTTTGTAGAATATAAACTGTGTTTTGATGTCAGTCTTCTTGCTAAAAAAAAATAAAAATAAAGCTAAAATCAAACGAAATATTCCATGTTAGCATCATTGTCTAGATTACATTAAGAATATGAAGACTTTGATCTACGAAAATAAGTATGGCAAACAGGCATCGAAATACATGTAAAACAGTTACATGTTTAGTTTTCAAAACTTTCTACAATTGAAAACAGAGGAAATAAATGTACTTTAAAGCATCAAGAAGACGAGTTTGATGAATATATCAATTAAAGCATGCATTTATGGGTGCTTGGATTTTATTGCAGGTCTAGCCGATTGATTTCCAAGAATTTCAGCCATGAATTACGGACGTGATTTACGTACAAAAATGTAATTATGTCAAATCGCATACAATTTTTCAAATGTAATGGGAAATAAACATCGAGTACTTTCTTATAATTCGAAGTAAGTATTCTTACCGAACTTGAGGATGTACATGTAATTATATTCTTGAAATAAAATAATCAACATTTCTGATCCAGAAATGTCAAGTATTACTAGAATACAATATGTGGACATATGTCAGTGTCCATCTTTATCTATTGTGGAATTTCACAGCAAAGGTCGCTACATCAATGATTGGAGATTGCACGGTGCTTGGGTTAGTAATTGTAATGAAATGTTTATTATCAGTTTCTTTCATATTGTGAGAAAACCGATTTAAGTAAGCTCTGCTTACATTTAAATAGTAATAAAAATTATATTTTAATTTAACAGTGCTTCAAAATGTTCTCAAAATGTGCATTCTCCCCATAACCAAGTTTAAATTTTCGTTTAGAAGGACGACTTCTTCTTCCATTGTACAGTTTGATTAAAGGATTGTATGGAAGGGAATTACCGCCAAAAGTCTATTTATCTTGCTTTTATTCTTATTCTGCCTACTTCTTTATTCTTTGTTATTATTGTAACTATATGTCACTTTATTGTTTTCATATTCGTCTTTATTACATTTCACTTTGAACTTTTTTCATTCTTCAATTTGTCCTTATTTCTATGTTGCTTTAGTCTTGTAAATACGTTCTTCTTTCTTTCAAATTGATACAGTTTCTTTAATAAATAATTATGATTATCTCTATTACAAATGTAAATTCAGTCATGCAAACCATGAAGCACATTCAACGAAGACGAATACAAGTAGTGTGAATTTAATGCTGCATTATAACGCTAAGTGGCAGGGTGTTCGCGGCGAGTGTTGGTAAAATTAGGTACGCAAACCCGGGCCGGAGTTATTCGAGATTTTTCGATTTTCTGCCTTAATACTTTATCAATCGAACCCAAATTTTCAAATGGTGTATGTTATAGGTTCAGGCATGTACCCGGTGTCGTTCCCCCTGACGGCTGGCTAGATGGTAAGACTTCCACAGGAGGACTAGCTATATAGTGAGACTTCTCCAGGGGAAGTCTCACTATATAGTCAGTCTTCACCCTTCATAGCGAAACTTTCCCCTTTAATTTAGAATATTTTTTTATTGTAAAACAATGTTTATATACTAACGTTTTCAGTGTTTGGATGAAAGTTCTCCGTCCTATATGAATGAATAAATAAATAAATATATGAATAAATGATTAAAACATTTTAATAGTGATTTTTATAATTAAAACATTAATTTAACCATGCAGGTAAACATAGGTAAACTGCACGTTTCTACGGGTAATGACCTCTTTGCTGTTAAATTAATTGTGTCTAAATTTTCTTTTGATAAGAATCGTCTCGGAACAATACAATAATCTGCTGTGCACAATAAATTTTTAATGCGCACTTTAATATTGATTCATTTGAAACTATACATTTATATATATATATATATATATATATATATATATATATATATATATATATATATATATATATATATATATATATATATATATATATATATATATATATATATATATAAGATCATTACCTAAATATGCAATATATACATCGTCGATGTAAATAAAATCCAAACCAAACACGGAAGGGGAAGTCTCGCTATGGTCGTTTAGGGCGGAAGGCTCACTGCATAGTCATTGCCCCCCCCCTCCCGGAGGGGAAGTCTCACTATATAGCCAGGCTTCCGGGGGAAGATTCACTATGGAGGAAGTCTCACTATATGACACCGGTATCGGGGGGGTGGGGGGTGGGGGTGGGGGGGGGGCTGGCCACCAAACATTTTTCTAGTCATAACTTTTTACTACTGAAATTGTTCATTGAAAGTCTGGTTGCCCCTCCCCCTTTTTGTCGCAGTATAGTCAAATAAGGGTCATGTACGTAGTGATGTATGAGTAAAATTTGGTACTGAAAGAAGTTGGACCCCCTTCCCCCCAAATAGGATTTTCGAGTTTGAAGAATTTTCCTCTTTTTTTTCCTTGTTTGTTTGTTTTTTGTATGTTTTTTTTTTTTTTTTGTTTTGTTTTGTTTTGTTTTGTTTTGTTTTTTTTTTTGCTTGTCAAGTTTTAGGTAAGACTTTTTTTTTCTCTTGGTGCCCCTTTCAAAAACAATGCTACGTCTCTAAGTTTTATCTGTTTTCGCTGTAAAAATTTCAAATATTTATATTCATGTATTTATATTTTGAAAATCTCAATATTTTAGATTATTTTTTGCGATTTTTGATTTCCAATTTGCTTAGATGGGTAGGCAATATCAAGCCGACATTTTACGTATTTTTTCCAAACGAGACATTGACAAAATAATTTTTTGAGTTATTCTGATGTCAAACACTGTGTGCTTACTAGAGATTTCTTTATTGAAAAGTGCTATTTCTATACCAAAAATTAAATCATATTTTCATAAAAACCGGGGGAAGTTTCTAGTACATGTGTGCTTCGGTCTAGCCTGATTCCGGCCACGCCTACTCATGACGTTCCGCACTACTTTGCAGAGCATTATGGGTTGGCCGAAACAAGATTAGCCCCGGCCCCCAGAATCAAGCGACTGCGCATGAACAGTTATTATCCTGAAATAAAGAAATGTCAGTTCAGTGGAAGAATATATACAATAGAGGCCTGAAAAACAACTCAATTTATAAGGGCATACTAGTAATTATCAAAATATTTAACGTTTTTTTTATATCAATAAAACTGAAATTCAATCATCCAACAAAAAAGTTGAATAGAGTTATAGTTTTCAGATGACTGAAAATACACAATTAGTTTGAAGTTTTCATAATTGATCCGGTTTTAATGACCCATATTTTCTTAAAACGTGTGATTTAAAGCAACAAAAGCACATTTGAAAGAAGAAATGCTTATAAATAGTTAAAATATAATGTTTAACATCAGAATAATTTATAAATGTATTAGCTTTTTGTCAAAAAACACGAAAAATGTCAGTTTGATACTGCCTTCCCATTTTACCAACTTGGAAATCAAATATCTTCGAGAAAATCTAAAAAAAAAAAAAAAGAGCGTTTCGGGGCAATTTTACCGCGTATACAAATAAACCTATAACTAACATAACTTGAAAATTTGGGTTCGATTGATATAGTATTAAGACAGAAAATTGAAAAATCTCGAATAACCTCGGCCCGGGTTTGCGTACGTACCTAATTTCACCAACACTCGCCGCGAACACCCTGCCACCTAGCGTTATAATGCAGCATTAAATTCACACTACTTGTATTTGTCTTCGATGAATGCGCTTCATGGTTTGCGTGACTGAATTTACATTTGTAATAGAGATAATCATAATTATTTATTAAAGAAACTGTATCAATTTAAAAGAAAGAAGAACGTATTTACAAGACTAAAGCAACATAGAAATAAGGACAAATTGAAGAATAAAAAAAGTTCAAAGTGAAATGTAATAAAGACGAATATGAAAACAATAAAGTGACATATAGTTACAATAATAACAAAGAATAAAGAAGTAGGCAGAATAAGAATAAAAGCAAGATAAATAGACTTTTGGCGGTAATTCCCTTCCATAGGATTGAAGCTACCCAGGAATTTTACTTGCAAAGACGTGTGGGCTCCAGTGTTCTGGGAGCCACCATATTTGTGTAGTCAAGGTGTAGTTTTTCTTTACTGTAGTCAATCTATTCATATTATACATGTACCTGAATATATTCGTAAACTTAATTGAGAGAGAAATATAGTCTAGTAAGAAGTATGCACGGCACAGCTTACGATACATAAAGGAGGCAGGGTCTAATGTTGAAGGTAAAAACTAGGTGGGTCGGTATTAAGTCTTCCGTGTTTAATTTTAAAGTTTAAACGCCAGTCAATATTTCAATATATCAATATTATAAAAAATAAATATTGAAATCTATGGGTTGATTAATATTAAATAGAAATTCATTTAACAATAGAAATAATACTAAGATATAGTCCCTTTCACTATTTATTTGTATTTCGACTAAGGGGTGGTCCAAAAGCAATCAAAATTTGTGCAATATTAAAAAAAAATCTTTTTCTTTACACAATTACGTATAACAAACTGTTGACGCTATTATAGTAAGCAATGAGCCTTCCACAAAAATTGTAAAATTCAATGCCCCAGGATAAGGGGTTCTGTTATTGTAAGGGCGGAGTTCATATAGTGAAAGTGCATATATATTAATTCTTTAAAGCAGTTGACCAGCAAACGATTCAAAGCGCGGTCTTAAAAATCTAATTTTAACAACTACATAGAAAAAATTTATAGAGGATCGCAGCACTTCTTATTAACTACAAAGGGGGGTTGAAAATATTTGTAAATTAAACTTAGGATCTTAAATTGTTTATCATGTCTGTAGATGCTCAATACTGTGAGTATATTTGCTAAAATTACGCCACTACCACATCAAATGACAAGTTAAAATAAACAAATATAATCGTCTGTTATATGTAGATTCAAACAATATTACATTCAATATAAGTAAAGTACCAAAAAATTGCCCATCCTGATAAAGAATATATTTAAATAAAGAATATCTAACAAAATAAGTTCCGATATTTCCCTAATCTGTACTATGTGATATATCATTGATGTATATTAAGGAACCGTATGATAAAGTTTGGACATTTTAGTTTTTACTATACCAACATTAAAAATAGCAGAACAAGACAAATATTACTTATCAATTCATACAATTCAGCTTTTTGTTTCTCGTATCGTCTGTTAGTCATTCTTGATTTAATCGGTATGGGCAATCCTAATTTTTTAATGCTAAGAGTGAGAAGTAAGTTCAGACAGAAACAATTCAAAAACATTCCTAATGTTACTATATATAGATATTGTCTCCCATAGTATTCTTTATCAAAAAGGGGTAATATAAAATAACAATGTTCACACTTACTACATGATTTATAACGTAAATTAAAACATTTGCATTCATTAAGATGTTTTTGAATGTTTTTCATGTTTTTTTTTTCAATTATAAAGTTGTGAATTACTAAAATTTTAAAATCAATTAATCATTAATGTAATTCACACGTAATTATACGATGAGGATAGGGGAAAATGTTCGTTTAATGTGCTAAAGAATGAGCATCGGGATCGATAGGTCATGGCGCACGCGCACTACTAAGTCAGAAACGTACTGACATTCCCATTTTTTACTGACAAACTTAGATAATTACTGACAATGTGCTGCCTTTACTGCAAAACTTAGACAATTACTGACCTTTTTACTGCCG